CTTACGTCATTTTTCACATGTGCATTTATGCGTTTGCATATTCAGCTTCAACTTAAGAAGATACATGTATATCCTTCATTTTTTTGTGTTTCCACTATCACCTTACTAGTTCCAGTCAAAGCACCAAAACACGGAAGATCCAAATCTTCATTTCCACTTCTTGGGCATCCTCTATCTGTCTGCAACTGCGTCCGTCCACCTCAGTCGCTGATCTTAAGAGATTGTTACAAGAGAGACTTGGCATCGATTCTGAGAAGCAACATTTATTCACCCGTAAAGGCCTTGAGGTGAATATGAAATGCATAATGTGTACAACATTCACTACACACAGGGCTTGTTTTTAATTTATACCAAAGACTCCTCTTTACACTGTTCGAAGGACCTTTCCTTGTGTTGCTGTTTTCTCAATATGCAATTTGGATTCTGTGATGACAAATATCTAGTTTGTATGATGATTTTAAAATGATATTCCTCTAAGAATTACCTGAGGCGGCGTGATAAAAAGCATGGTATGTTAGCGTTATCGTATTACAAATGTACTCAAACACGTACTCCTTTCCGGAGTTTTCTACACTATAGAGGATTTGCCTGGTAGCCATATTGCAGGGCAGGTGTGTTGTTCCACATGGAAACTTCTTTTTGTGCATACACTGTGGAACAAAAGAACTGCCCTGCAAGATGGCAGCCGTGCAAACTTTCTATGGGGAAGAATAGAAATTTGTGAGGTACGTCAAGCAAAATATGTCAGTCTTTCATTAAAGTGGAAAATTTTTCTTCAATTAACGCTTTATGTCTTCATGAAGTCCGTTCTTTGTGCTTACCTTTGAACATGTGCTTGATGTTTTATCTGTCATTGCATTTCTGTTGATGTACAGCTTTGTGATGCCCTGTCCATAGCTGATCACAGCATTGAACATGACGCTACCATAGAACTGCGCCTTGTTTCTGGATTGATGGGTGGGAGAAAAAAGAAACGAAAATCAGGTAGGCCTAATGCCTCATATCGCATGCTAAGAAACAATCACTCGGTAATAGAAATGCATTGATGACCCATATTCAGAGGAGAGGGGTGGGGTAAGTTCCCCTGAAGACTTGCTTCCACTTTTTTCTCGGAATGGAAAGCGCTAGCATATGAAGTAGTATTACCACGGGGAGGATGAGGGCTCTTTTAACTGTGAAAATATGGGAAATTTATTTTGGGGAAAAATATCCCGTTTTGCCTCATATCCCTCGTAGCCTAAAGACCAAGATACGCCACGCTACCTGAACATGGCATTGACATATTCAATGAACTCCACTGAAGTTAGGACAACAGGAAAACAAAATTGATTAAATGTTAACACATTGTGCTATGAATTTATCTGAACTACATGTAAGTCTTTATTCACATTTTGTGAAATTACACGCTGTGGAAATAGCACAACAGGTTCACACTTTTTTTGTATCCAGATTTTTTCGAAGCGCTTTCAGGGATGTGTTTAAATGACAAACCGGATACTTCTCCATGGTAACATCCAGCTTTGTGAAATCGGCTCAGCATTTCTCAAAGCGTTTTAATTTAGATTATCTAAACATGTCGTATGGGTTTAATTTGTTTTTTTTTTAAAGTGGCCACAAAATATGCGCACCAATTTGTTGAAACTCAAAGTTTCTCTTACACTCCGCGCATCAAAAAATCCTTGTATTTTTAAGAGTTACTGAATATTAAGCTGAGCTTCAATTAAGACTCACTGCTTTCCTTCTTATTGTTTCACAGAAAAGCAACAGGAACCTAAACAAAATCTAACGTCAGAAGATGCCTGGGCATCTGAAGAACACTCCTCAGCATATCAGATATCATCTTCACCAGGTGTCCATGCTGTTGATAGGCATTCCCAGAAACTTTTAAATCGAAATGTCGAGTGCAGTAGGTTAATCGAAATTATAATGTGCTTTCACTGTAACAGTTTATTTTTAAGGTCACATGTTGCGCCATTTAAATCTGTTGTTGTGTTGTTTTCACTCAATGTTTCACTTGGTTCACGCATTCTACAGAAAAGCGACTGGAACCTGAACGAAAGCCAACGCAGGAAGACGTCTCAGCTGGTGAAGAAAGCCCCTCATTGTCTCAGAAATCGTCTTCGACGAGCGGCTATGCTGCTGATCCCAACAGGCCTACACAATCAAGCGTTCAAATTCAAAACTTGACCATTAAAGGAGTCACCAATAGCCCTATTATACTTGGCCCCGCAGTTGCTTCTTCGTTTAACTACGGTACATGCTGGATATTTCGAAATATTTGGCAGTCTCACCAATATGTTTCCAAACATTGTTGATGTTCTGTTTACTGTGGGTATATTTTTCACAAATCTAGGTGTAAGTTTACCTAAACTAACAAACTAAAATATACTAATATCAGTTTCAATTAGTGACAATTTTTTGCCGACTCCATAAACCTGTGCCAACCCTCCTTGAATAACAATTTCCGACTACGAATATCCAGATTAACTACGGTACCGCTGTTTATGGCAAATTAAACACACATTTGATGAATATTGAATGAATATTGCTTTGGAGCATTCACGTTATCACAAATTTCTAACTGTGAATTAATTAACTTATTACGTTTTCCAGCAAAGATACCAGTAGATGTCGATGCAATGAAAAATGGAGAGACCCACAGAGAAAGCAATGCAACAATCGTGCAAATGATAAAACACGGATTACGGCAACATGGCAAGACCCACATGATGACCCTTTTCACAAAAGCTTTTGTTGAATTCGACGCGGAGGTTGCACATGCTCAAATGGGGTCTGTGAAACTTGTTTTGCACGTCAAAAGTCAGAAAGGTCTGCATAAGCTGTGGAACATGTACACCAGTGGCGAACTAGCCAAGACGTTCACCGAGATTCTGATTACTGATGAACTTACAACGGAAGACAAGAGCAACATGGCCATCAAAGTGACAATACTTGAAAGTGATTACCAGGAAGGTTGCAGATTCTTTGAAAAGTTACAAAAAGGTAAATTTGCAGTCGAAAAGATGTCGAAAGGGGTGAATAACGTATTGTCACTCATACAAGTTGTTTTACTTGACTGTTAAAAGACGAGGTAAAAAGCATATGATGTTATTACTAAAGGCGATTCACAATGCAGTACGCAACCAAGAGGTCGTCATGGACAGGCCTTTTTGCATTGCATAGTGAGACAAATAGTCAAAAAACTCATTCGCTAACTGCGCTTTGGGCAGAAAACTTGAATTGTTTCTGAATTTTTGTTGATCTTGGTTGAAAATTGGAAACTGTTAATAGCAAATAGGTGTTAGGTAGTCAACATGATTTTTTTTTGTTGTGTAGGGAGCGCCTCAATCAAATATTCCCAAAATACGTATGAATTGCGCTTAATCGCGGTAGCAAGTCGATCATGAACTTGAAAAGTGGCCTGTCTGCGGCAAACGCTTCTTTGCGCACCGTATTAGGAATCGCTCATATTGAAAATATCTAAGTTATGAAAGTATTCAGAATTAATACCTGATGCACAGAGTGGGGTCCACACTTGCAACAATTGCGACAGAATTTTATGTCATTTAGTGATTTAAATGTGCTTGAATTAAAAGGAATTGCCAAATTTCTCATGTCATTTCCGCACACTTACAATTGAAATGGTTGAAAGCAGTTCATAAACTAGGCTCTGTCGTATTTAATTATCTTCAAAATTATTCAAAGTTGCATAACTTGAATGCTATGTTCTTCACGAAAACCAAATTTCATGTAAACTATTTTTGCAGATACTCTAAAACAAGAGACGTTGCCTGTACGTATGTCAGATTGGACTAAGGAGCATGTAAAAATGTGGCTTCTTGGTATTGGTGTACCAGATTCTGTTGCACGTGAGCTGTATGAGGAAGAGATAAACGGTGAGGAGTTAAAAATATACAACAAAGACCAACTACACGAAGATTTTGATATGAGAAAGGGGCACATAAGACTCATCTTACATCATAAAGATAACTGGTTGAAATCGGAAAAGCGTCAATTGACCTCTCCTTCAAACAGTAAGCAAATGTTGCTATCTTCTACTGGGGAAAGCAAAGAGGATTCTGATCAGGTATTAGCTGATGCAGTTGTTGAAAAACCTGAAAAACTCCATACCAAGGCAGCATCCCAACCCGTGGTCCGTCCAAAAATGCCGTCCTCTCGACAGAAAGATGAGGCGGGTAGGAAGACGAAAATTAAGCAGATTGGACCAAGTGAGCAACATCAAACATCCCTTGTAAAAGCATCTGAGAAGGAAGAAAGGGCACTGTATGGAGAGAACAGAGGCCAAGAATCCACAGAGGCAGATATAATTATCCCACCCGAAGATAGAATAACACCATTTCAGAACCCATTGGCTACCAACGAAGGTGAAAGCAAGAGCAAACAAGATACCACATTGCTAACATTTTCTCCAGTGCCAAGAGAGAGTATTTCAGTTTGCAGGGTAAAACCACCTCAATTTTCTCCGGATTCACCAAGTGAGGCCATGTCACACAAAACAAGCGGAGAGTTTCCTGGAAACCAGATGACTTCAGAGCCCCAGCCGTCCAAAAAGTATAACGAAGAACATCATGGAACGTCAACATATTTGCAAACACAGCGCGATATTCCGTCAGATATCAAAGCGTCCATTGGTCAAGTATCACAGAACGGAGAAACCAGACTTCGTACTTTACTCACGGGCGATGAGTGTGGAGAACTTGACCAGTCGTATCCGTTACTGGTTGCAAACAAAGCTCCCTCTCTTTCCTTGGAGAGTTCTAAAACTGAATACTTCCGAAATGTTGAATTTATTAAGACAATCAAATGGGCAAGCGTCTTGGACTTTGATTCACAGTCTCTGTCGGATGGACTGTGTAAGCTCTACCATGACAATAGAATGGTCACTCTGCAGCAACCAAATTTGTTCAAAAACATCGAGTCAAAAGAAGATCTACAAACCAGTATCGGATTTCCTGAAAAGACACTTTGGCTTTTCGCTAACGGGCGAGAGGACAACCCAACCATTGAAAGCCTTCCCATGGATCTGCAAGAATGGAACAAAGAACGTAGCCGAGATGTAGAAGCATCAATCTCTTTCTTCTCTTCGGTTATACCAAAAGGACGTGCTGCTATTGTGTTCTTGCTCCTGTCCGATCAGGACCTGGGAATCGTTTGTGACATTTTCAGAAAAATGTCTTCATCTTTCCAAGGCATACAGAACATAACATGTATCACTGAAGATGAGAATGTTTACGCACAGTTTGTAAAAGGTGTGGAAAAGTGGTTTAGCAAGGCTGAAATCGATGAGAGGAGTGTGGTTGGACTGAAATGGCAAGATATCAACCGTATTATGATGCGAATGCATGCAGTAAACCAAATTGGGCAGCATGAACTCCCTTTCTGCTTGCCGGGAAATTCCTGCTTTCTTCCCGCTAAACAGAAGGAAGAATGGAATGACATAACCGTTATTTGCAAAAACGAGTGCGAAAACACCGATGTTGATGAATCAATTCAAGGCTATCAAAAGTTTGCAGAAAAGAAAGAACTTAACTTTTACCGGGGTGCAAAGATTGACTGGTGGAATTTTGTCATAGATGAAAGAGAAAGAAAACGTCCACATGCTTGTGGGCACGTGCTAAAGCGAAATGGATTCGGGAAAACACTTCAGAAAGTAGTGAAACCACTTGACCGATCAAAGAGCGAAGACAGCTTAATCGTAACAGTTACTCTTTTGCACCAACCTGGCGCTGGAGGTAGCACTTTTGGCCGACAGATTTTATGGGAACTTCACAAGGATCACCGTTGCATCGTAGTTGACAAGATAACCACCAATACGGTAAACCAAATATTGGGGTGTAGACGGTACGGATATACGGAGTACAATGCTGATATCCCTCCTGTGTGCGTTCTAATCGATGATTTTGATGACGTTGAAGTCCTGGATTTAATTGTAGAGCTAGAAGAGGCATCAAAGGATACTCCTATGAAGGGAGGGGTTGTCTGCGTTCTTCTTCATTGCAAGCGGAACATGGATCCAATAGAAACTATCAAGCAGATTAAAACCAATTCGGATCTTTATGTTCCATTGGTGCAAAAACTTACGGAAGCAGAAAGAGCATGGTTCGAGAGTAAGTACATTGAGCTTGATGACAAGGAAAGCAAACTAAAAACGGGTCATTATAAGCCTCAGAACTTGCTCGCCTTTATGGTCATGAAAGAGGAATTCAACAAGGACTACATCAAAGATGTTGTGTCTCAGATACTTCGTCACAGTGATGCTAACAAAACTGAGAAAGGTTTGATAAAAATGTGTGCCTTTCTGAACTCGTACATGCATGAAGCAGAAATCCCTATCTCATGTTGTGATTCATTCATGGAGGCTGGCGTGAAACTCCAAAAGACGGCATATTTAAACCGCAGAGTTTTGACTAATTGGGAAAAGTCAGTTTCAGCCCCTTTCAAAATCATCGTGTTGATGACAGAGAACCGAACGATTAAAATTCTGCATGAAAGTGTAGCTCAAGAAGCTTTAAAACAGATCTTAAAGGATGAGAGACAAACGATTGCGGACGTAGCTCTGGAGTATTTGAACAGTGACTTGATGAGGTCATGGTCCTACCGCAGAAAAGACATGGCAAAAATAGCACGCGATCTACTTGTAAGACGCACAAGATTGAATCCTGGTGATAATACAAAAACTGATTTCTCCCGTCTCATTCAGGACGTCTACAATTGCAACCAGCAAGGACCAAAAAAGGCCACTGAAATACTACAAACAGGTTTCAAAATACTCCAGGATGCCTTCATTGCACAGCAGCTTGCGAGACTTCATTTGAAAGAAAAGAATTTCGGAAAGGCCGTAGAGTTTGCCGAGAAGGCATTGAAACTTAACCCTCAGAAGTCATACTTTTGGGATACAAAAGGCCGAGTGTACAATACACATTTCAATGCCATAACAAAAAAATATTTGGTTGAGCAACAAGTCCTTTCTTCTGACGTGTGTAAACAAGTTATCTCCCTGTCATTCCAAGCCATGGAGGCCTTTCACAAGTCATATGATGTCTCCAAAGAAACCATGCAAAGACAGAGTACACCGGTTTATATGCAGAAGTGGATGTCGCCTTCAGACTACTAAACGTCATCCAATGTGCTATGGAGCCATTCCGAACCAAGGGTGATATAAACATTCTCCGAAAATACCTCCTGAATCTACGTCTGCCTCCAGATTGTTATCCCAAATTCGATGAGGATTGCAGCTCGAGAATCAGAGAATTGAAACAGAGAGTGGAATCTGTACTACATATCATGGATGACAACTTAACATTTTACAAGGACGGCTCTTCTGCAAATGTTGCCGGACAGAAATTGGATGAAATGAGAGAAAAAATGAGAACATACTCAAAGACATATCAAGAATACTATGGTGAACCCTCACCTTTAGAAAAGAGCAGTGACATCGACCAAGACCCAGAAAGTCTTGCTGAGTGCCGTCGAAGAAANGGTAATAAAACTGCAGTGCAGAAGTTTTGGTGACATATTTAATCTGGCAAAAGAATGTCAAAGGGCCAATCTGAAAGAAGCACGGGACCTCCTTTTGACAAATTCAGATCATTACAACGTTTTTGATTTGAGGCATCTTGTATGCATACACCTGGCGCTCTCCTCAGCAGGGGAGCAAGTAATGTCAGCTGACGAGGTATATCAGCAATTTGTCAGGCCGTTAAATACTCTGGATCATAGTAAAACTGACTGCTGGCCACCTTTCTTCATGATGATGTTTCTGTGGCCAATACCTGATGCAATCTCTGAAAGAAGGGATAGGGAAGATTTATCAACTCACATAGATAGATTACAGAACCGATGGATCGGTCGGCAGAAGCACCTTGGCCAACAATCGTCGCGCGAAGACAAGTTTAGTCGTCACGCACGTTTTGATGTGAAACCAAGAACCCATTTCTTTTTGGGTCACGGGAAAGATCTCCAGAGTTTCGTTCACATCCACGAAATCCTTGCGACTCAAAGAAAGCTTGAACATGACAATTTCTGGCAGTCAAAGGCTGTAAAGAAATTACTACTTCGCTTGGAAGGTACTCTTCTCAGTAATACCTCTCTGGTTCATCTTTCCAAGGGCATGAAGATAAGGGTTAAATTGGCATATCCGTACTTGAAACACACTCCCAGCCAAGAAACTGTGACGTTTTACCTGGGATTCAGCTGGAATGGGCCAGTTGCATACAATGTAACACCAAAGGGTAAAGAGTCTTGTCACGATACAGTTCAGTGGAACTTTAATCAGGCGTACCCAGAGCACATTTTGCCAATCAACAAAACAAGGGTGTCCCCATCAGATGGCATGGAAGCACGTGAACTGGAGAGACAAGTTCGAGAGCTAAGAGCCTTGATAAAAGAGTGCAGCCGGTCAGAACGCCGCAAGGTAAAATATTGTAATTCTAATTGTAATTCCAGCAGATTCCTTTATTGTCTTAAGCATTTAAACAAACATTCATAAGTACCTCAGACAGTTTCCCTATGAAACAACGCTCAACGTGACCGTGTATCAACATTTGATTATGCCCCCTAAATTTGAAAAAAAAACCCAAAAACACACGCTCAGGCACCTGGATACAAGACAGTTTAAGCCACCCAATTGGTCAAGAGCCTGTGTGCAACGCGGCACGCTGAACACGCCACGCAGGTGCCAAGCCCATAGTATACATGGAGATTCTTCCTGACAACTTGTACAAGGACTAATCCATACAATGGACGGGGTATTTGTGAAAATGAAAGTGAAATTCTAGAAAAAATCTTTTGAACATCAGTCATATAGTAATTTCTTTTGACTCTTTGACTAAAAAGGTTTTTATGAATGGGCATCACGTCCATTCTCCTAGACCCGCCTTAAATGCACGCTTTAGATAGGCCAGACACGCATTTTATTCCCTTATTCATAAATACCCGGGCGTCAAGTGACCATGTTTTAACATTAGTAATGCCACTACGTAAAGCACGCGCTGGCACCTTAATACGATACAGTTTAATCGTTTCCGATTGGTCAGGAGTCTGTATGCACGCGGCAGGTGGAATTCGCTACGCGCGCTAAGTCCATGGCCGTTTTCCCATACTCGACTTGGGCCCCGTCTGAGCCTTCAACTGTTTTTTCCTTCCTAAATTTGACGTTATAAGCGCAATAGTAAGTCTGATAGTGCCACGAAGCCTGAGACGGAGAAGAAGTTGAGTATTGGAAAACGGCTCATATTAATGGGAGACTCTTCTGGGCTACATGCACTTGCACAAGAATATACCATCAATTGACGGGAGTGTTTGGGAAAAAGAAAGTAAAATTCGTGAACAAAATCCTTTGAAATTTACTGTATATTCGTTCCTTTCACTTACTCTAAAATGAATGAATACCATTAATGAATGGAATTGGTCGGTCTTAAACTAACATTAAAGGCCGACTCAGGAGAATGAACACCCACAATGCCCTCACCTGCTGCTCAGGCATTAATTTGGTCCATTCTCCCGAGCCGGTCTAATCGACCTCTTCACTAATAAATTCGTAATCATGCATGCATGCGCACAAGTGGCCTTGGCGGCAACAAGTGTGAGTGGGCCATCGAAAATGTACAGGGGTGCGACTTCGATGATAATTTTCTCTCAGGTTTTCTGGCTTTGTTCATTTCTTTCTTTAGAAAATTCCATTAAATCGTTTTTGCTATTAGTTTTAAATTTAAGTGAAATTTTTAGTGCTCTGTAAAAGATTTTAAAATCATACCTTTCCTATGCACACGAGATCGTCGTTTCTTAGTATGGCCACCTTCCATTATACGTCGCACTAAGAGCACTAAGTTTCTTGGACTATTTATTGATCACAAACTGTCTTGGAATCTTCGTATGGATTACCTGTGTAAAATTATTTCCAGAAATATTGGTATGATTAACAGATTAAAGTTTATCATACCTAAGCATATCGTATTTACATTGCAAATACTTTCATTTTGTCATACACAATTAATGGAATTTTGGATTGGGGTAACGCATTACAAACTTTATGTAATCGACTTTTTTAAATAAAAAAGGGCAATGAGTGTTATAAACCATTTCTCATATTTGGCTCACACTGATTATTTTATCATAACAAAACCCTGAAACTTGATGACATATACCGTTTTCAACGAGGGATGTTTATTTTCCAATTAACCAAAAGGGATCTTCCTAACTCCTTTTTAACTCTGCTATGAATTCTTGTTTCCAGTGTCACTCGACCCGCCAAGCCTCACAATTTCATTTATCATATACAAGAACCCGACTTGCCCAACAAAATATTAAATATGAGGGGCCAAAACTCTGGAACTCATTGGATGAATCTCTTCGAGACCTGAGTACTCTGTTTAGTTTCAAAAGCAAGTATAAGAAATTACTCCTCAACTCATACACTTCTAATTGATTTTTATTGCACCGGATATTCCACCTGATATCACCTTTTGGTCTGTTTAGTTTAAGTGTTAATTGTTTTATATCTCATCTCATTGCTTCAGTGCCTGTCAATATTCTTCACTATGCATTATTTGTGTTGTCATAATTATACACATGTATATTTGTGTATGTAAATACATGTATATGTATGTGTTCGTATATGTATGTTTTTGCATGCATATGTTGACAATGCCTTGCTTTGAGTGGTACGGTAATAAAGTATAAACTGCATCATTAGTGTTTTTGAGCCAACCTGTGTAGTACGCCCTGATGTTCAGTCTACCTCCATGGTTCAATGTACACGTAACGTAAGTGTACCCATTCGATTCTGCACTTGGGAAATCTGAAAAAAAACACAGATCCCTTTCTCTTTGGAATCTGCTCTTTGTCTTATACAACCCCAATCACAGCAACTGAATACCATTTCTTTTGGTAGTACTCCAGTCTATGACCAAGTCCAATGGTAAGCTATGTACATGTACTTACAGTGTACTATGAACATCGGTACGTGTTTTTACAAATGCACAGGTTAGCTCCATTAACACTAATGTAGTTTATTCTACTTATGATGGAAGGAGCAATACTAAGAAACAACGATCTTGTGCGCACAGGAAAAATTTACGATTTAAGCTCTTTTTACAGAGCACTAAAAATTGCACGTAAATAAGAAGCTATTAGCGAAAACGGTTTAATGGGATTTTCTGGAGAAAAAACTGAACAAAACAGAAAAACTGAGAGAAAATGATTATTGAAGTCGCACCCCTGTACATTTTCAGTGGTCCGCTCAGACTTCTTGCCGCCAAGGCCATTTGTGCCCATGCGTGCATAATTATGATTTGTTTGTGAAGAGGTCTATCGCACATGTAAAACAGGTCAATCACATATCTGTTCCCTTAATTGTGCCCGATAGCTTTCTTTTGGTTGTGTTCAGGCACAACTTTTTTAAAACTGCGAAAGGTGCTTTGCATTGTCAGGTTGGTTTTAAAAATACCTGGGTAGTTCTTGTGGTGCTTGGAAGTTCAGCTTCAAGGAGGAAACTTCAGTTATGTATACAAGTTGTGTATGCTTGTACAACGCGACATCAAAAACCTTAAAACCAGAACAGATCCCAGTTCTTTGCTATCCCCAACCCAAAAGTAGAATGAAATAAATCTGAAATAGTTTTGCAGCTTATGCCCAAGAGAAAATACACTGCTAATGTGTATTGTATGAATGGGTTTGTAATATGTGGAAGATTAAGAATGAGAAAGAATGCTTTGAAACAACGACACAATGAAAGTGTAGTGAAAGAGATTAATAAGTCGTTGAATACAGGTAGGTTAAGGTGCTTTAGAAAATACATAATATATACATAATACATATATGCATATATACATAAATACATAATACCAAACTGTGCATTTTCCACTCGTCTTCATTTCCAGAAGGAAAGACTGAAGGTTTATCTGAAGGAGAAAACAGCCCAACTTATCTCTGCTTGGCAGGAGGATGAGGATTGACCGTAAGCAGTATTGTGCCCAGCAAGTCATCACAGAGCCACTTTACTTGAGAGGACAGAAGTCCGGAACGACTCTCTTTGGGTAGCCTACTAAAACGAGACAGTACTACATCGATATCTTTCGCATTTTGTGGATATTCACAGTAGCTCTCCACACTTAATAAATGTTTAATGACAATAATGCTTGATTTCAAATTTCACTCAGTTCAGACCTATGGAAATTATGCACATACGTTTCAGTTATACGGACCATGTTAAAAAGGCTCGTAGTACCATTTAGCTAGTCTATAATTATGACGTGCCATTAACGCATTTGGCCTATAGAGTTTTCCATTTTTTGCCATTCGAAAAAAAGCTGGAGAAACCTGTCAGAATGCTTTTTAACTGCTATGAACTGTTCTTAAAAACTTCAGTACTTTCCCAAATTTGAGCAGTGAATTAAAACGCTTAAAAAGTACGCTTGTAGTTTAACTTGCTCTTAAAATGAGTTAAATATTGTAGTATTCAGATAGCAATCTAATAAGAACTCTTCGGGCCTCTCTTTTGAGGCCTTTTGGGCCTTCTCTTTGAGGATGGAACGGGATGGTGTTAGGTCCACTCGTTTGGATTGGTTGTAATTGATAACGAACCTCTTTCCGTCGTCTTTATCTCCTTAAGGTCGTCAGACCTATGGTCGGGGCAGAGGCGTTTCGCTTTGCTTCTACTTCACTGTACCATGGGAAGCTATTTTTTAAAGATCCTGTTCGTTGAATCTGTCATATTCAATATAATCTGTTAATGAGGTGGTGCCAAACTAATATTTGTTCCGAACTTCCTATATTTAGATGTAGTTTGTATCAAATTTGAATCACTCCAAACAAAAATTAGCAGGATTTTGTATGGACTTTTATTTAGTCACAGTTATTTTACTCTGAGGTTACAAAATGAAAAGTTTCACCTCACTTTAAACTCAAGATGGTCGACACATGAATAATGTCTCTCTACGCCCCTGTATTAGAAAACTACAAATATAAATGCAGATTCAAAATAATTTCGTGGGTCGTAATTAGGGGGGAGGGGTCAAGGGGCATGCCCAAGCAGTTGCTTCTTACGGGGAAGAAGAAGCTGTGATGGCTTTCTATCACAAAGTTCCTAAGAGATTAACAGTTGATGGAACCGGTTTTGTTCAGATTCTTATGTTCTTTAATTAGCTTGGTTTTCAATGTGCCGTACTGATTCACTATCGGAGGGCTAATTAACACACCCATAACCTCGGGCTATCTCCTATTGAAGTGAGGACACTACATATGCGAATTTAATTGCTCGTAATTTGGCGAGTTTGGAATTGCGCCTTTATTGTGCAAACCATGGACGGTGGCAATTTAAGACTCACCGCCGACAAGGGTTCAACTACATCGGGTGCTTTGGCCATCATGAAAAAAAGGATAATGTATGCAAAGTATTTACAAACTGCAGAAGAGTTTTCTAAATTCTTACATTGAAGAATTATTTCTCAGTACTTGGCAGTCGAAAGCAAAGGATCTACACATTTCAAAGAACCACCGCTGTTTTGTTTTATGTAGACCGTAATAGAGGTGTACAAAATGGTTTCTTACAACTCGTGTGGTTTTGCCACGACGAGTTCTCTTTGCAGTCTTCCGAACAGAATTATGCCTAAACAGTGTTTTTAAAGTAACTCCGTGTTGCTCGATTAAATTGTGATTAATGATTTGATTATTTACATCATCTAGGGAAGTTGTATTAAGTTCGTGTTGAAACGTATGAAGCGAGGTTGGATATAAGAGTTTCTTCCTCCGCTGAAACTTTACAAACGACACGGGTGGAATGGTTGCAACTAAACGCTAGGTAAGTATCAGGCCGTGCAGTTAAAATTGCCTCCTTGAAAATTAAGCAGTTCTGAAAACAAACTTTCTGCACTGTGATATGATGGTTTGAAAACGCGATTCTCACGATTTTCGTCGTAAGCAAAAGTTGTAACGTCGTTTATTCCCGCGGCTATCCGTACAATGACTTGGTTCTCTTGAGGGTAAGTGTGAAGCTTAGGTGTTACAACAATAAAGAGCAGAAAGTTTGGAAGATAGAGTAAGCACGGATCCTTCACTCGCCATCGTCAACCTGTCCAACGTTATTTTCAGTCATGTGCGTGCGACTGCAGCGGAATAATGAGTTTTATCACATGGTAAGATGCTGCTCTTAAAACGCACAACTGTGATGGACTTCGTAAGTTCCTAATCTAAA